CTCTCTCTCTCTCTCTCTCTCTCTCTCTCTCTCTCTCTCTCTCTCTCTCTCTCTCTCTCTCCCTCTCTCTCCCATCTCTCTCTCTTCCATCTCTCTCTCCCATCTCTCTCTCCCCCATATCTCTCTCCCAGATCTCTCTCCCATTTCTCTCTCTCTCTCCCATCTCCCTCTCTCCTATCTCTCTCTCTCTCCATTAGATTGAGCCAGCTTGGATACATGTATGTATCCATGTGTCACATTTAGAGGGCCGCTGGGAATGCTGAAATTCACTTTAGTAGTCTGTGCTACATACAGTCAGCGCTGTCTTGTTCCGGGAAATAGGGATGTCCCGATGCCACTTGTTTAAGACCATGTACAAGTACAATATCATTCAAATATAATATTCAGATAGAAAAGTACAAGTTCTTTCCCACAGGTACTTGCCGATACCAATAACCGATACTTTTCCATTAAGGGACATGTGGCATTTTTTCTAAAAGAACACAGATTGATGATTTTAGGGCAGTTCTTCACCAGAGCTAAATAAAGATGTCACCAGAAATAATACATGTCCTCAGAGCAGAATACATGTCACCAAAGCAGAATACATGCCCCCACAGCAGAATGCATGTCACCAAAGCAGAATACACGCCCCCCACAGCAAAATACATACCCCCCACAGCAAAATACATGCCCCCCACAGCAGAATTCATCTCTCCAGGCTGCGTGCCGATCTCACCCGACATTCGATTTGCTGCAGGGCTCTGTGGGCAGTTCCTTTGCTGTGGAAAGTGCCAGTGTTCGGGGCCGTACTGTGCTGTGTGGGGCTGTCCATGGCTGTGCCTGCGATGGGAAGGAGGAGGACAGGCACTGCCATGGACAGCTACTCGGAGGTCCCTAGCAGGCTGACAAGTCCCCACAAGTGCAGGAACTCAGACAGCCATTGCGGTTTGAAAATTTAAAGGACTGGCATCGGCTTTAAGGATCAGTGCATTTTCACAAGTACAAATACTCATGAAAAGGCCTGGTATTGGCCCCGATACCAATACTAGTATCGGTATCAGAACATCCCTACCGGGAATAGTGAGGCATCCATTAAAGAACTGTAACCGCTGATTCTCAGGCATTACAGAGCCCCAAATAGCTGCTCACATCAGTGTATGTGAGAAGTCATTTGAGCACTTAGTGGCGAGGATGTACATTGTATGTCTCCCGTCACTAAGGGGTTAAAGCAGAGCTAAACTCATCAATGTAACTGTTCCCAATACAGTTACATTAAAGGCATGCCTCTGCTAACAACTGTCACGGTTGCCAGTGTTGTTATTTCGGCTCCCAACTAAATTTTCTAGCCCTCAAATGGCTGGTGTTGTAGCTGATCACATGTGCAGCACCATGGCAACTGCAATCTAAATAGAGGCTAACAGGCACAATGACAGCTACAGCTGGGAGAGGTTTGTTTGTAAACAAAGCACATATGATCACTGTGATTGGCTGTCATGGTGAAACTTTGAATAGGTGATCACATGGTCAGGAACCATGCTGCTTGGTTCCTAATTGTTAGTTCGAGCATAACATGATGGCATAGCCTCCGAGTCTGTACTTATCACCACACATGTACACAATGCAAGTATAGTTCCATCTTTGAGATATTATTTGATTTACGTAAGACAAGTATCTAATCTAAAGCTTTATTTTGCAGATGATGCCCTACTTTGTTATGCACTTATTTGCAAAAATGCCTGGACTGCCTGGTCTTTTTGTGGCGTGTGCGTTTAGTGGTACATTGAGGTAACCATTTGGTGTTTTAATATCTATTAGTATATCTGTTGGATGTAGCAGATCTTATAGGACGTGAGGAAGCCAAGGGACATTCCATCGTTGCTCCAAGGGTTACGTTTTTTTTCCCCGGAGTTCTTTTTTTAACAAACAGCAATGATTGCATCAGCCCACAACAATCAATCATGACTAGCCTAAATCATTGATAAAATGCAAAATGTGGTTGCCATGGAAAGCAAATAAGTGTTAATTAGTAATCAGACTTCATATTAATATAAGCTGTCTTTTGAAAGTGTATGTATAGCCAAAATGCTTTATTTATTTATGTATTAAATAGAATAAGGAAGGGTTTAATTCCCTGTCAGTTTATTTGTTGCTGTCTGTGCTCTGTTGGGGAGTTTTCTTTTCTCTTCCTGTTTAAAGATTGCAACAGGAAGTGAGACGTAATCTCTACAAAAGTGAGGGAAAATCCACTCTTAGAGATTGATCACCTGAACAGATGTCCCCATCAGAAGATTTAGGCCTCATTCACACTGCTTAGAGTCCGCCTGTACAGATCAGTGCAGCATGCACGGCCCTATCGGGCCGTTCCCGGGAAGGACAGGTGCTGTGTGTGATTGTACACAGCAGCCTGTTTGGACGCGGCCTTACGCTCACCTGAGCTGCACATCCGTGCGGGTGTCTGTACTCGTACGCAGATAGGCTGGATCCTGTCTGCGTCCGAGCACGGACACCCGCACCCACATGGATGTGCAGTTCGGGTGAGCGTAAGGCAGCGTACAGGCGGCGTCCTCCCATAGGGAAGAACAGGCTGCTGTGTACAATCACACGCAGCACCTTTCCTTCCCGGGAGCGGCCAGATACGGTCGTGCACGCCGCACAGATCTATACGGACCGACTCTTGGCTGTGTGAATGAGGCCTCATCCTTACTGCTTGTTCTGGTGACAAGTCTAACATTTTGGCATTCCAAATACTTTCTGTTGCAATTAGAATACTCACCAGGACAAATAGAGGGTACATTTAATTAGCAGGGATGCAGACAGCAATACAAACTTGACGGGGTCTAACCCTTCCTTACTCTATCCAAAACTAAAATATACTTTAAAAGAAATTATAATCAATTCCTGACATGTTATTATTTTGTTTACATTGTAGCACTGTAGCTGCAAGCATCAATGCTCTTGCCACTGTCACCTTTGAAGACTTTGTTAAGTATTTTTTCAAGGACATTTCAGACAGGAAAAGTACCTGGATTAGCAAAGGCTTATGTGAGTGTTAATTATTATTTTTTACTTAAGGGGAATGCTTTTGTACATATTTATTCATTTATTTATTTATTATATTATATTATTTATTATGGTCAGGACTACAAAATAAAAAAATGATGAAAATATTTTTCTTTTTTTTCAACCTGCTAAATATAAAATATTGCATATTAGTATGCTGTAGCTTTCTATCCAACCAGCAGATGGAGCTCTAGTCTTTCTTTCACAAATATTGTAATGCAGTATCACTCTCAGCTGTGCTTAAAGAAGCCTTTTAAAAGCTGAACTTCGGCCTTCACTTCCATCTTGTACAGTTGTACCGGCTCCTCTCCTGGACTGAACTTGCTTACTCTGATTTCACTGCACACTGTGAAGTCATAAAGTGCATTAGAAGCTGCAGCAAGTCAGACTGAGCTCACCTTATTTCCTGGCTGTAGGACAGCCAGCATCATCTAGCTTTTTTCTCTGTAGCCTTAAAGTCTGTTTCATTCATTGAATTTCAGTTCTTTCAATCATGAAGGCCAAACATCACATGTGGGTGTTACGTAGGACACTCTGCATGTTATTGCAGCCTGCCTAGGATTGGTCAATCCTGTAGACTTATATCCACCTATTAAGATACTTTTAAATTTGCAAAAGTCCTCCAGGGAGCCAGTCCACTGCTTGCATGAAGGTTGCGGGATCTTGAGAGAAGCACTGAGGCCTCCCAGCCAGCACTAGGTGTGCTGGCTGGGATGTTTTCAGTAAGCTATGTACAGCACCCTGCTGGACACTCCCTGAACTGCCTGCATTACACAGAGATCCAGTGATTACATCACTGGGTCTAAAATAATGTATATCATGAAAAGTTTTATTTAAAACTCCTTGGCCTGAGTGAGTCATCTTACCAGTAATTATTACTTTATAAGCATAACCTAAGGATTCAGTTAGGCAAAAGGAGCCAAAGACAGAAAACAACAGTTCAACAACATATACATTAAAAATATATATATAAACAATATATAAATATATATATATTCCTTAAAACCATTATAGTTTCCCTTTGCAGACAAAACCATTTATCTGAAAAACTTTTGATGAGAGCAGTTCAGCTTAGACATTAAAGCAAAACTAAAGTCTGCTGCCAGAGCTCAGGGCTTTTTCATATTGCACAAGTATGCACAGACTTCTGTAGCTGCAGACACTGTGGAGCAATTCATCCACAAATTTCAAAGCAGGAACGCTGAAGTTATTCTCTTAGCTGCTCAGCTCAATCCTTGCAGCAGTGGCTAAGCAGCCTTCCAGCCATCATATATCTAATGCAACGCAAAGCAGGTACTGTGGGAAGGGGACTAAGCTGCTAAGAGAGCTGACTTGGGTCACTTCAGTGCTTTTGCTTGAGGACTGCTTTCTTTACAGTGCCTGCAATGACAAAATTCAGGAAGTGTGTATTTTATTGCTCATTTACTGTTTGTTATGAATATATACATACTGGGATGCTTATAGTCTGGTCACTGGTCAGCCTCCAACCTTCCAATTAAATATGGATTGGTTGTACACTAATACAAGTAAAGAAACACACACAATATTTGTTTTCAACCTTTCCTTCATTCATACAATCAAGATCAAAACAAGAAAATGTTTAATCAACTTTATTGATTTTAGTGCATGATATTGTTTAGAAACGTTTCACTGTGTTAAGTAATACAATAATAGCTACCATTTGTGGGGGAAGAAGGAGGTTTAGAGATGGGGAAAGAGACAAACTATCATATCGTCAAATGTTATGGCTTTAAATTTCATAGTCTCCAATGTTAAAACTCCAATTAAAAAAATTTGGGGAAAAAAAAGATCAGTCCGCCCAAAGATGATATTCCAGTCGTAGGTAGATGGCAACAACCTGAACCACCTCCTGTTGGCCACAGTATCCTTTGGTGTAGATTTGTCAATGCTTTGTTAGGAAATGTTGCTGAAGCCTTCACTACAGGACAAAGTGAGCATAACCAAATAATACTTCAGTTTTAGAGCATAATTTAGGAGTCAAATTAGGATAGCATTAGAGAAAAAGATTAGGATTAGGATTAGAAGTGAACAATCTAGGATAACAAAGCTGATTTGGAATGTGAACTGAATTGGAGAATTTTTCCAAATCAGCTATTTTGGCCTAGATTGCTCACTTCTTCTTCCTTCTGCAAACTCTTCACCCTTTTGTGAATAACCCTGTTAGTTTAAGTTTTAGGGCTAAGGTTATGGGTTAGGTTTAAGGCCTCAGTCTCATTCACACTGGCAATAACATACAAGCATTTATAAGTATTTATAGAACATTTCTAATCACACATAAATGTATGAAAAGATTTCTTAAAACGTAATTCATGCTGTATGTTCACCTGCATTTACATTTTAGGGGTCCCTTTACTTTTGGGGACTTTGCAACTTAGGTTCCACGATGGTAGGTGTAGGACTCAAAATTCTTGGTGTTGCGAGTTCTATGCTCAAAGTTACCACTGCCAAGACCTATATATTTGAATACGTTTTCACATTTTAGCTCACATATCTTCTAATCTGCCACAGCCATTACAAAGAAATTTCCCTCCCAGTGTTGGATTTATCATTTATTTTACATAAGGCAGAGAATAGAGCATGACATTTAAGCTTAGGATATAAGAAACTAGTGAATGTTTTAGTCTATCAACATCCACCAATAACTGAAATATTGGTACAGTCGAATTCTTTATGGTGTAGTAGAGTTCATGTCATACTTTGGCAGCTAAGGCACAGTCAGAAAGTCCAGATTCAAAGATTTCTGGATGTCTGAGAAAATATAAATGGGTGTTCAACCCTCCAATCTCCACCTAAAATACAGTATCAGATTCGGCTGGACTGACCTTTTAAGCTGAAATGTTACATTGTTGTACTTGTTATAAAGTTTAATGTTCATTTCTAATGCTGCAGGTGTGCTGTTTGGTGCATTGTGTACAGTAATGGCAGTAGTCGCATCTTTTATGGGTGGTGTTGTACAGGTAAGTGAGGATGGCCTATATCAGATGAAATTGCAATGTGTGTTTGTTAATATTTTTTATGGTTTCACAAAACTGATCCCTGCTAGCCAGGAACAAGAACCCATCAAACTTGTTTGCTATTTTCATCTAAGCAGAGGCGTTGTGTACATATATTTACTAGTATTTCATTACCCACTAGAAAACAATTGTGCAATGTGTATACCTCCTTTTTCTATAGCACACTGGCTGGATTCCACCGGAGACCACTGCACTGCAGATCAATGTAAACCACTGCCATGCAGAGACATGAGTGGAGTGTACACTTAGTACACTTCAAAAAAAAGTTAAGAAAGGGAACAAAAACAAAAAAACAGTTACAACCCAAAGCACTATGGCTGACCGCTGCCACCTAACAGACACTACGACACTAAGCACACAGTAAAACCAAGTTTTAGGATGCTGCTCGTGTGAATGAGCCTTAATAAATACTTTATGCCCTATTTGCATACATTTACCATGTGTGAAGCCATAAACCATAACAAGGTACCTCTGTAAAGTGTAGTCCTGCTTTAATCTACACTATACGTAAAAGTATTTGAAGACCTCTACAACTTATTGAGTTAAATTGTTTTCAGTGAAGGATACAGTTAATAATGACACAGTTAATACTGCAGCATACAAAGACATCTTAGACAATTGTACATTTTGGGAAAGGCCAATTTTTTGTTACAGCGTGACTGTGTCTCTGGACACAAAGTAAGGTCCAAAGGGACATGGTTTGATGGGTTGGTGCGGAGGAACCTGCACAGAGCACTGTCTTCAACCCTACTGAATGCCATTGGTATCAATTGGATAGCTGAGAGTCCTGTCTTCTCATCCTACATCAGTAATCTGACCTCACAAATGCTATTTTGGCTGAATGAGCACAAATTCCGACAGACACACTCCAAGATTTTGTGGAAAGTCTTCCCAGATTAATAAAAGCAGTTTTAGGGTCAACAGGA